GTGATGAAAATTCGAATTGTACCTGACATTTGCGGATCTCCGCCATCAAAGGCTGTTAGAACTAGTGATATCGACTCTTCCTTTTCTCTGTCAAGAGGCTTCTGTAAAATCATTTCAGCCTTTTCCGTTCCACTACCTTGACTGTCCCCTTTCAGTACAAAATTATCGGTAGGTTTAAGCTCATATTTCTGAAGACCATTTTTGCCGACATCAAGATCAATTGCTCTGTCCAGAACAAATTTTCCTCCGATTACAGCAGATTCACTGATTTTAAAGGTTACCTCGCTTTTCTCAAAGGTGGGGGGGTTGTCATTTATGTCTATAATCTCGACTGTGACACTGTAAAACTCCATAGGGTTTTCTAAAATGATCTGAAAATGTAAAGCACAAGGTGTTGTCTGCCTGCAAAGCGCTTCTCTGTCGATCCTCTCTTTGATTAGAAGAAGTCCGCGTTCCCCGTTTAGCTCAATATATTCCACACCGTCTCCCGTATAAACGCGAGCTCTTCCAGATTTCAGTCGTTTTGTATCCAAACCCAAATCCTGGGCAATATTACCGACTAAAGAGCCACTCGGCATCTCCTCGGGAATAGAGTAGCTGATTTGGCCGATGACTGGACCGAGATAAAAGACCAAGGAAAACAACAGCGCTTGCCATTTCATTGTTCTGTTCGAACTGCCCCCCTGGAAAATTAGCAGGAAAAAACTATTATCCACAATTACCGAATGTCCCTTACAGGTGATAAAACACAGACATCACTCCGAAACCATTTGAATCGGTTAAAGAAAGGTTGAAAACGGCTCTAGTTAAAATGATCTCCGACGTTTGAACACGACGTCTTTCTCTCTGTGATATCATCATGGCGAGCGAGGTTTCTCTTTAAATGTGCCCTGAAATATCAACACACTGGCCAACAGCGGCCCTACGAGTACATAATTAGGAACTACAGAAAACGCCTGGAAAACTAAAGGAAAACCCTGTTGTGCACGAAGGCTTATTGTTTTTACAAATACCAGGATAACACAGCCCATAAAAGAGTTAACGTCTGCAACACTAGAGAATACTAGTTCCCTTATTTTAGTTGAACAGATCACAGAGTCTATATTCTTTACGTATACCACTGAACTGAACGATTAAGTCATGATGATATCTGACCAGTTACTTAAAAATACTGTCACAAATTCAACAAAGCGAAATACATGACATAGATAGCCCCCCCACCCCCGCCAAGTTTATATTGAGTTACAGTCTTTCGACGAGTCTTGGCAAAAAGAGACGAAACGATTTATGTTCAAATTTTACACCATCACCAATAACTAAACGTCAAATACTAACATACCTTCACATGTTGACAAAACATCAATACGTTAAGATAGACACCCATTGTCAAAAGCGATGGAACAAGTAACGTGCCTCTGTCCATGGTGCTGATTCTTGACTAGCGCTAGTTGGTTCTTAGTAAAAACTATGAGCAACAGAAAAAAAAGTTTACGCTTCAAAATTGGCAAGATCATTATATAACTAACCTCTAGAGGAGAGTCTGGTTCATCCAGGATGCTCTTTTCACTCTGTATCCG